ATGTGAACACACATATATTCGATAAGGGTAAGTATAACTCTAACCCTATCAAGGGTTGGAGGAGAGTTTGCCACCAAATAATGTCCATCAAATTTCCATCATAGCCCTAATTCGTAACATGCATTTTCTCCTCACCTACTTGCTCTGCTTATGCTGATGTTGAAAGGAGGAACATGTAAACCTAGTAACATTTTTGCCTTCTGCGGAAGAACAAACTTGTCGTTTTCTGGCTTACGGTTAAACTGATCTGGAAAATCTGGTTTCGCCGGCTTTTATTGATTTAAGCAGCATTTGTTTCCAGCAAGGACTTTTAACAGTGTTAATTCCTACAGTTTGGTCTTCAACATGAGTGTTCAGAAACCATGGATTTACGCAAAGTGGGCTAATTACTTCGTCTTCAAGGGTGTTCTAATAGACCAAAGGGCAAACACATACTGAAGCAAAGACCATTTTCTAGATGAGATTCAGCGAGCATTAAAAATTATTCCATGTTCGAATTCCCTCTTTCATCATCAGTGTCCCACAGTAGACATGCTCTGCAACAAAAGCAATTACTAGCACTAGTAAAAACCCAAAGATGAAAACTGAGAAAGATGAAAACTTCAATGAGCTTTTTTTTTGGCTTCAGTTAAGAATAAAGCGGAAAAGAGGATTGAGGAATTTTTTTGTATATTTTGACGTGTAGAAAAGAGTACACGAAGAGCCATTTTATAGGCTTTATTAGATAACTATTTAAGATGATAAGATAAACACAATATCAAATATAATCAATCAAGTATATGCACTATCAATATGCAGAGTCTAGTAAATATCATAATATCACTAACATTCCCCCAAGGTTAGTTGGAACAATTCAACTTGAGTTTGAAAATTAATCCGAACATTGTCCCAAAATCTTTTGTTGGGCATGGAGGATGCGAGATGCCTATGGTGGCTCCAAGCTTCCGTTGACAACGAGATTTCAATATGTTGATCGTTTGACGGCGGCGAGTATGGTGGTGGTTTTGGCTTCTTGAATGAGAAGTGAAAAGTCGAGAATCGGAGGCAATAGAGTCGAACAACATGCGTCCTTTGCGGTCGACTTTGCTGTAGGGACGGTAACTTAACAAACGTGGCCGATACAGCTGGCGTGGCTACAGTAAGTGGAATGAGCTAGGCTTTGTTGAGCAAAAACCGAGACGAGTTAGAATGTCAAGTTTCGAATTTCGTTTGACTCAATTCAAATGTTCTTGTTTTCAAGCTTGATCTAATATCACAAATATTAAATGTCTTTGTCGCCAATTGACTAACTCGAATAAAAATAGGTGGAATCATGTTCTCGTGTTCATCGTGTCGAGCTTGAGATGCTTGTAGAAGTTTGGTCGGCATTTCTTGTCGCGAGTATTCTGCAGAATATGAACTCCACACGTCATAAATTTGCGAAAAACTAGGTTTCTTGGAAAATTATCTTTTTGAAGAAACTAAATTTGATGGAAGTAATATCTAACAATAGAGAAAAATTATAGTGCCTTTACTATACATGGGAAATCTACCGGAAACAAAAATCAAATCGTGTGATATTTTTCAGTATGGTAAGTAAATCCTGCATATTTAAAGAAAAGCCAGAAAAAAATAAGTAAAGTAAATGAATTTGGGACCATAAATTTAAAATTTATCTCTCGGAAGAAACGAACTTTAATGGAAGTAATATTTAACAATAGAAAAAAACACATAATGCCTTTAATACAAGTGGGAAATTTACAAGAAACAAAAACTAGATATAGAAAAACTAAAAAGCAATGAAAGTGATTCGAGACTATCACTTTAAATTGCAATTGAATAATTGAGGATGATTTAATCTTTTTGATGAAAACTTGGTAGATTTAGTCATTTTTTTTATCATGAGGTTTAGGGTGTGAGCGGTTCCAGGTTCCTTATTTTTTAGAACCTGAAACCTACCCGTCGGAATTTGAAACCTAAAATTTATCATGTCACAGGTTCCAGGGTTTAACAAGTTCTTTTATTTATTTATTTATTTCATTTCGCCAAAGAGAATATAAAAGATTAGTTTTTCTGGTATTACGATTCAAATAAATATAATTAAAATGAGAAGTAATTGTGTGAATCGATACTATGAGCAAGCGGTTCCATGTTCCGTATAAGTTTCTTTGCTGCGCTAGATCACTTTGCCTCTGACTTCTGGCATCTGACCGCTTCTTCGGCCAAGGCAAGCAGTGGTAAGTTCTATTGGCACTCATAAGTATGAGATGTATGAAGTATGGCGCTCCTGCTGTCCTTACAGGCACATGTGTGCAAGGAGTTGCTTGTTGTAGTATGCTAACATGAGCCCTGGGTTGAAACTGTTCCAGATCATAGCGGCATAGCAAAATGGTCAACTGATATGCACATTTCATCCTTTTCCTTTTTTTAATCACGGAACATGCCACTGATACGAAGCTATGGAGTTCCTGTTTTGTTGTTGCTTCTAGTATATATATTATATTCATCATCAAGTGTGGTGCAAAATACATTTCAGATTTTAATTTTTTGAATTTGCTCGAGATGCAGCCATTGCAGCTTGTCCTTTTAGTGATTGGGGCCCAATAATTTATTAATTCGATTGTGCTCACTCATTCCTGTGATCTGCCTTTTGATTGGGGGAAAGGTTGATTTAAGGAGTTAATGCACTTAGTCACTTGTGTTGTGTGAGCCAAGCAGGCTAAAAGGACGAATTTAGAACTTCACTCAGTTATCTGGTTTCAGGCTTGATGGGATTTTCATATTTGGTAAGTTAATATTTTTCTTTTGCCGTGTTCTTCTTTTTGATGTTCACCTATGATGGTGCCTCCACTTGACTGGGGGAAAATATTGATTTCGGAAGGAGTTAATGCAAACATAAGTCCAGCAGGCTATTCACCTATATTATGGATGAATTTAGCAGTTGGCACTGTTATGTGGTTTCAGGCTCAATGGGATTTTCGTATTTGGTGAGTTAAAATTTTTCGTTTGCTGTGTCCTTCTCGTTTGATGTTCACCTATGATGTTGTCTCCCTCATGTGTCCAAAGTTGTAGAAACGAGAGGGTTGAATTGTTATGGATTCTTATAGCACATCATATTAAGCTATCTTAGGAACAACGGGACTAGGCCTTGAGGTTGCATCATTTATAGCAGTATTCCCTTTGGATTTTCTTTTTGAAGTGGGATGTGTTGTGTTGCACGTTCTTCGTCTTTATATCGTCATACTATGTTTAAGTAGGTCCTAGTAGCTGAGGAGGGCGATCGAGGGATATTGAGGTTCTTTGTGCTCCCATTTTCCCCACCTCATTTTACTTTACTTTTCTTGCTGTCTGGATATGGTGATGCTACCATTTGGCACACATCTGAGTGTGTTCTTACTGGTTTAATGATGTCCAGATAGAACGAGTTGATGCCATGTGCTGTATGATTCTCTTCTAAGGTTCTGCTGGTCTTGCTTCATCATGTCTTGAGTAATCTAGATGTCGCTTCTCTTATTGCGAGAGAAATTTAATATTCCCATACCTTAGAGTTTCAATTCATGAAGTTTGTCTTTGGTTTGTCCTAGTCATTTCATATCTGCCTGGCTAAGTCGTGGGGTATTATTTTCCTCTGTTACTGGGTTTACTTACAGTGAATTGTACTGATCTGGAACATAGTTTTGTTCGTCCTTGTTAATGCTTGGGTTGTCTTAACAATTGCCACACTTGTCCGCAATCGTTGGCCATGGTCTGGAAAAAACGTGTTTTTGTCAAAAGCGACTAGAAATCTATCTGATCACCATTTTGAACGGCGCCTCAGTTCAATAGTAGTTGTTTTCGCAGGCAAAAAATTTCAGTAGTTTGAGATCATTCAAATTGCATTGCTCTTGCTCAATGTACTCGGCTCGCGATTATTTTGGTTGTAATATTTCGTGCTTTCTATTAGTGTTCGAAGTGGAACAATCTTATGTCCTCCGGATGGCTGGAAAGAAATCAAACAAGAACATCAAAAAACATCGCAACCAAAACAAGGGAGGAGTAGAGTGAAAAATCAGAGTCATGTATCGCAAAAATCCTTGTATCAGAAGTGAAAAAAAATGAGAAACTAAAGCTGTGGCCTGTGTATTGTTGTCGTGTTTAACTTCGGTGTCAGGGTCAGACTGTCGTACTTGAGCCAACCTCTCATGGCAATTTCAGGTCAAATTTCGTTCTTTTATCCAAATGCAGATAGAACCGAAGATTATATGTGGCCGAGTTCAAAACCGACACGAGTTAGGTTGCCAACTTTTGAATTTCGGTTGACTCAGTTCACATGTTCTTGTATTCAAGCTTGATCTACTATCACAAATATTAAATGTCTTTGTCGGCAATTGACTAACTCGAATAAAAATAGGTGGAATCAAGTTCTCGTGTTCATCGTGTCGAGCCTGAGATGCTTGTAGAAGTTTGGTCAGCATTTCTTGTCTCGAGTATTCTGCAGAATATGAATGCCACAAATGCCATAAATTTGCGAAAAACTAGGTTTCTTGGAAAATTATCTTTTCGAAGAAACTAAATTTTATGGAAGTAATATCTAATAATAGAAAAAAATTATAGTGCCTTTACTGCACATGAGAAATCTACCGGAAACAAAAATCAAATTGTGTGATATTCTTTAGTATGGTAAGTAAATCCTGCATATTTAAAGAAAAGCCAGAAAAAAATAAGTAAAGTAAATGAATTTGGGACCATAAATTTAAAATTTATCTCTCGGAAGAAACGACCTTTAATGGAAGTAATATTTAACAATAGAAAAAAAACATGATGCCTTTAATACACGTGGGAAATTTACAAGAAACAAAAACTAGATATAGAAAAACTAAAAAACAATGAAAGTAATTCGAGACCACCACTTTAAATTGCAATTGAATAATTGAGGATGATTTTTTTTTGATTTTTTGGTGAAAAGTTGGTGGATTTAGTCATATATTTTTATGTGAATTTAAAGAAAAAGGGAATTTCATTTTGTAACTTTTCCTTTTTGGCTAAATTCTCCTCCTCTAACCCTCGAAACGATGGATGCCAATGCCTTCTTCGTCACTCCCACTCACTAAGCTCCTCCGCTCACCCTGTCCTCCCTCTTCCGCCGCCCTCCCCCTCCTCCGCCGCCGCGCCATGTCGTCCGCCGCCGCCGCCTCCGACCCCATCACTCCCTCCGGCACCCGCGTGGGCTGGATCGGCACCGGCGTCATGGGCCGCTCCATGTGCGGCCACCTCATGCGCGCCGGCTACGCCCTCACCGTCTTCAACCGCACCGTCGCCAAGGCCCAGCCCCTCGTCGACATGGGCGCCCGCCTCGCCGACTCCCCGCGCTCCCTCGCCGCCCTCTCCGACGTCGTCTTCTCCATCGTCGGCTACCCCTCCGACGTCCGCTCCGTCCTCCTGGATCCCTCCTCCGGCGCCCTCGCCTCCCTCCGCCCCGGCGGCGTTCTCGTGGACATGACCACCTCCGACCCCTCCCTCGCCGAGGAGATCTCCGCAGCCGCCTCCGCCAAGGGCTGCCACGCCGTCGACGCCCCCGTCTCGGGCGGCGACCGCGGCGCCCGCAACGCCGCCCTCTCGATCTTCGCGGGCGGCGACCCCGCGACGGTCCACAGGCTGGAGCCCCTGTTCGCCGTGATGGGGAAGGTCAATTACATGGGAGGCCCTGGGAAGGGGCAGTTCGCGAAATTGGGGAATCAAATCACCATCGCTTCGACGATGGTGGGGCTGGTGGAGGGCATGGTTTATGCCCATAAGGCGGGGCTCGATGTCGGGTTGTTCATAAGCGCGATATCGACCGGGGCCGCGGGCTCCAAGTCGCTGGATTTGTATGGGAACAGGATACTGCAGAGGGATTTCGAGGCCGGGTTCTATGTGAACCACTTTGTGAAGGATTTGGGGATATGCTTGAAGGAATGTGAGAGGATGGGGCTCGCATTGCCCGGCTTGGCGCTCGCTCAGCAGCTTTACTTGTCGCTCAAGGCTCACGGGGAGGGGGATTTGGGCACTCAGGCACTCATTCTGGCTCTCGAGCGGCTTAACAATGTTTCGCTCGAGAATGCGGGCTCCTCCAATCTATGAGTATGACCTCTGCTTAGTGTTCTTATTGTGTACTTATATTGGTATACATGGACAGATCGTCATTTGCTATGTACCGACAGTAATATTTGCCCTCTGTTGTATTGGTGTGTTAAGAGGAGTGGATATCTATGGTTGGCTATTGAATGTATAATTATGTGCTTCTATCTTTGGAATGTATGATAGACTGACTACATAAAGGTTGGGATTAATATGTTAATCAGGATTCGTGAGACGAAACGGAGTGTTCATCAAATGATTTGTCAGCTTGGACATTGTCCTCACTTTTATTGCAATTTGATGGTCACCGTGGTAACTCTCTGGATTCATAACAGTTTATGAGTTGTGTAGCAATACATGGAAAGGAGAATAGTATAACTATTATGGGCCTGCTGATGAGCTCTTGGTTTTCACATTTGGTTGCGGTAGCTAGACTTGTTTACTGTCTACGGACCAAAGTAGGTACTGATTTGTTTGGGTACGAAGGGAAATAGATTGTGGTATTCACATTCAGAATTTGAGATGAGAGCATTTTCTGTGAGAAACTCTTCCATTCTAGTAATGCACCCAAGGTATATATATTTCTTCTTATTCCTAGAAAGATTGTTAGTTCATTCATTGACTAAAAGCTACTTACAGCATCAAAGTGGCCATGATTTTCAGGACTGATATCTCCAATTTATCACTTAATTTGCGGCTGCCGCATTGGGCCAATAAATCAGGAATTTAGTTCCTTCTAACCCAATTGGATCTAATCGTGGATACCTTTGTGTGCAAGAGTTTTATGTGTTTGATGACACTACCTTCCTTCTAGCTGCCAACTTTTGTATCATTGATGGCATCTATGATCATCTCCAACACAATTTCTCTCTGATACTGTAACAAAACCATGAGAATAGCAACGTCAGGTGATCATGGTTGAATTAGCTTAGTTCCTTTCTTCAACAGCTTCCCTGTATCATCTCTGTCCACAAAAGCCAGTACAAGTTTGTGTCAATGGTTCTCAAGGAACAGGATTTGAAAGTGAGCAAATCATGTTGCATTAGTGCTCAGTGGTGACTCCAATTAGAATAACATGTAATCTGCTACAGGATAAGCAGGTACTAATGTGATCTCACAATTGTGACCACGATCGTGTGGCAAAGGGCACATATGAGCATCTAATAAGGCCCATTGACACCGAAATAATTCTCACTGTCTAATGTTCCGAATATTGTACTCTCGTCAACAGTCCCTTTTTTTGTGCATTCTCAGAGATACTTTAGGGAATTTTCTTTAAGAATGTTGTCTTTCTTTTGGGCTTGTCCAAGCCCTCTACAGATTTAGTTCAGGAAGAGAGAGAGTCCTGAACTGCTCATATTTTTAAGCAAATGTTGCTGTGCCTAATCTCTTTGATGAAAAGCTTAATGATTATGTAAATCTGGTCCAGAAAGTTTGTTGACTATGCAGAACAGATAATGTATTCCTATTAAGTAATAATCAGAAAGTGAGTAGTTTTTGTGGACTTCCAAAGCAAGTGCTTTGATTCATGTACATGAATTATTTGATGTCTTTTGATATAATTCTTTGGTTTGTCAAAATAATTTTGCCACAGAAGCATTAGGAGTAGTAAACGAGAGTCCCTCTGTTTCGTGTGTACACAGGTGCTTGAAGCATGCCATAGGCATTGTTTATGTCTGTTGTTGAGATCTATGATAATCTTCTCCTTAGTCTATGATGACTCGGTTTGGGAACTGCTCAAAGGGTGCATTTGGTTCAGCATTTTGAAAGCTCCTTGAGGAAAATTTGGGGTGTTTGGCAACCATTCCCAAGGGGCTTTGAGGTGAAAGCTGGCATTGAAAGGCTGAAAGCTCAAGGCTAGTAAGGAGTAGCTTTGAGATTTCAGTATTTTCGGAATGCTAAAGGCCTCAATTAATGAAAATTAGTCAGTTGCCTATTATGCTCTCAAAACCTTAATAAAAATCCAATTTTACCCCTTTTAAAAAGTAAAACCCCAGATCTAGTTCGTTCTTCCGCTTCGCTCTTTGGCTCTTTCACCCTGCTCCTGCGCTTTGCTCTTGCGCTGAAAGTGTGCATTTGAGAGCCGGAGGAACCAAGCAAAGCAAGAACACATGCTTTGGACCAAATCCAGTGTCTGTGCCCGCGGTCGAAGCCAGTCGCAGCTGAATGTCTTCGTCGAGCAATTTCATCTTCGTGAGATTCTCCAAGTCTTTCAGTGTCTTCATTCATTAGCGGGTAACCATTTGGATCTCCCCAAGGTAGGATATGTCGATTCATTGAGACTCAATCATATGATTGTTCTGTGTTGCCTTTTGCGAAAGCTTCAAATTATTATCTTAATTTTTGTCTTTTATTTGGTCTCAGATTCTTCGATTCCACTCTAGCAATTTTTGGTTGGGTTTCTCATGTTTTATTCCTCAGCGATTGATAGGAATTCCTGTTTGTATTACACGTCACCCATCATGCTCACCACCTGTTTGACATTTTACCTCAGAGATGACACCATACAATGGTGAATTAGTTGGAAACTTAGTTTGGTTGCTCTATAAGAGCTTGAAGAACACTCTGAAACTCTTTTAGACAATGAAGGCTCTGTAAAATAAATCGATTGCCCAAATATATACATACACAGGCTTACCAATTAGGAAGTCTTTTATCTGAAAAAAATAAATAAATTAGGATGTCTTTTAGAAAAAATTTTATTGTCTGGTATCTATGAGCTATTGTAAAATGGGAGCACAACCATATCAACAGTCAAAAGCAAGCTTAATTAAAAGAAATGAAATTCCCTAGTCAATTGCTTGAATTAGAAAACAGAGGATCGGCATGCTAGAAAATTGTGGCCTCCCAACCTGAGCAATTTTGTCGAAAGCACAATGGCAAGGGAGGCCTTCAGATTTTATCTTATTTCTAGGAAGATTGTGAGTTTTCAAAAATGGAAAAGGAAAAGGAAGAAACACGACCGCGGAAGCTTAACTAGATGGCCTCTTCTATAGCAGGTACTTATTTTTGGACTGGACCACCTAATTCTATATTCACAATTTATATGATACTTCTATCCTAACTAGTCCGATTGAACTAAAAAGTTTTTGTGAACTTAGGCTCCGTTCGTTTGGCGAAAAATATTCTCCCGGAGAATATTTTCCGGATTTTCCGGTGTTCTGGGGGCGGAAAACGTTTTCCGTGGGAAAATATTTTCCTTCCCCCCCTCACAAAATAGCCTAAGTCTATGGAAAATGACTTCCGCTTCTTCAAAAGCGGAAATCATTTTGAAGAAGCGGAAGTCATTTTCCGGAGCTTCTTCTTCTTCTTCTTCACTAAGGTCGCGGGGCCGTTCACGGTCGCCCAAGCCGGCTGCGGCACGCCGCCGGCCGGCCGCTGCCATTGCTACGGCCGCCGCCTGTCGCCGCTGCACCGGGCGAAAAATATTTTTCGAAACTTTTCCATATTGATCACCGAACATCGGAAAATTATGTTCCGGGAAAACATTTTCCAGGAAAATGACTTCCGGGAAAATATTTTCCAAAAGGAGAATATTTTCCGCCAACGAACGGAGCCATAGTGTCGCCCCTTTTCCACACTTCTAACAGTAGAATTGAACATATTTAAAGGTAACTTCGACGATTACGAACATAATGTTCGGCGATATTTACCACCATAGAAGCCGTTAGAGCTCGGAGTGTGTAGCTTCAACGTCTTCTTCCCCTGTTCCTTTAGACCAAAAAAATGATTCACATATTGTGAATCATCAAAAACATTACAAAAAATAGCAGACTGTACCTTTAGACCAGAAAAATGTACGATAAGACTTAAGGCTATACTTGATTCAAGTTCTTGCTTCGCCCTTGCTCTTTCTAAAAAATAGGTTTTCTTTTCTTGTCAAATTCTTGATTTTCTTTGTTCATCTCTGAAACTTAATTTGTTCTTTCATGCCACAAATCTCTTGGACCAAAGAAATTTTAGAGTCTGCTTCACATCTTAGTATCTTTACAATAATCTTCAACTTTAATAATTATAAGACTGGTAACATACTATCATGTTTATTGATTTTAGTTGTGAATGTAAAATGCACTCGTATTGATATTGATTCTACTTGTGAAATTTCACATATAATGATTGATGGCATGTGTACTCATAAACACTTTTAATAATGTCAATTGCTCTCGTATCGATATTGATTTTAGTTCCCGTTACTAGTAGATGGCAAGTTCATCCAAAGAAAAGGCATTTTGGAGCCCAAAAGGTGTAGAAATCTTTTGTAAGTTGTGCATTGAACAAATTGATAATGGTAATCGTCCTGCAAACAATAAAAGGGATGGATGGACAATCATAATTAAGAGGTTTGAGGACTTAATGAGCAAAAGTATGATAAAAGTCAAATGAAGTGTAAGTGAGATATTCTTAAAAAAGAATGGAAAAGATGGAGGATATTGGTTTTGAAGGAAATAGGATTAGGATGGGAATCCGAAAAAGAATATCATTGAAGCAAGTGATGCTTAGTGGGAGAGAAAAATTTAGGTTTTTTCCCATTCTTTTGTTACTTTCTTTAAAGTTAATCTTTTATGATACAACTCACGAACATGTTTATCATAACAGGAAAATCCTAAGGTTAGAGTTTTTAGAACGAAAGGCATACATCCGGATCTGCAAGTTTTGTTGGATAGAATGTTTGGAGATACAGTTGCTACTGGAAATGTCACGTGAAATCCTACACAAGGTTTATGTATTGATGAGGATATTCTTCCACACAACTTATTATTGATGATTGTGCTGGATCTACTGATAATGATACAGAGTCCAATGTAGGTGAACAGATTGTTGAACAAGCTCAAAGTCATAAAAGAACACCACAGAGTTCGGTGAGGCAATCTCAAGGAAAGAAACAGAAGAAAATGACCACAACTACAAAGCTAGCAACGCAAATGGAAAGAATTTGTTCAGCTATTGAAAGTATGAGCCATGCGAGGAAGTTTGATCCTTACAAGGAAATCATAGAGACGTTGAAAGCCATATCTGAGATTAAGCAAGACAAAGAGTTATACTTTTTTGCACTAGATCATTTTGCAGAAAAGAAAGACAATAGGCAAATCTTCATAAACATGGATGGCGATCAAGAAAAAGTCAAGTGGCTCAAATATAAGTTCGCACAACGTAGTCATCACTAGGATGGTAGCTACTTATTTGAATTATTTCATATGCTACGTTATTGTAATGTGAGACCTATTTGCACTACTTATTTGTATTAGTTGGTGAGACATGTTTATGTTATACTGTGAGACCTGTTTCTAATTGGTATTCCCTTTATCAAGTGGAGTTTTCATATATATGATGGTTGATAAGTGTTCTATCGATGGATGTTCTAGATAATTTGTTACATTCTTATTCTAATTCTATTTTGTTACTTTAACCGGTTATGGATGATTCTCCTGAAAGGGAAAACCATGAAAAAGATAAAGAGGAATATTGGCTACTCTATGCAGCCGCACATACAAGAGGTGTTTATCAGGCAACATACCATCACAAAACACCAAGCATGACCTCATCATACATAGGCCTATGCATAGTTAAGAGAGTTGATGGGAATTGATGCTAATCCAATAAGGTATTTTCAAATGTTTAGAATGGATAGGACTGTGTTTAATAATTTAAGGCATGATTTAGTGACACGATATGTTCTCTATGTATCTAGGAATATTGATGTTGTAGAAATGCTAGGAATGTTTCTCCATATTTTAGAACATTGTATAAGTAACAGGTTAGCACAAGAGCGCTTTTAGCACTCTGGGAAAATCATGTGCAGGCTATTTAGCTTAGTTTTGGATAAAATATTTGAAATGGGAGCATATTTGATCCAACCATCCGATCGACAATTTGGGAGAAGTTGTAAGAAAGATAAGAAACAATAAAATATTTTATCTATATTTTAAGGTAAGTTACGATTATACAATAGAAAAGATAAACTAAAAATAAATCAAGTAATGTTAGCGTACTTGTTTTAGGATTGCATTGGAATTATAGATGATACACATATCCCAGCCGTGGTACCTACGAGTGACCAACTTCGTTTTATCCGTCGAAAAGGAACATCGACGCAAAATGTATTGGCCGTATGCAATTTCAACATGGAATTTACTTATGTTTGGGCCGATTGGGAGGGAACAACTCATGATACTCGTATCTTTTATGAAGCCATTAGGAGACGTGATTTACAATTTCCTAAAATCCAAAAGGTTCGTTAATTAGTGGTTTTCATACATTCATATGTCCATGTGGTATATGTTGATTAAATTTACAATATTTTTGTGTAGGTAAATACTATTCAGTAGATTCTGGATATCCAAATCCCATGAGTTACTTGGGTCCATACAAAGAAGTTAGGTATCATTTGCCCGAGTTTCAACGAGGTCCAGTACCTACAGGCTATAAAGAAATGTTCAACCGTGCCCACTCCTCACTATGATCAGAAATTGAGCTTGCCTTTGGCGTATTGAAGAAGAAGTGGAAGATTCTAAAGAGTATGCCAAGTTATCTATACAAAAAGCAAGTGAAAATTGTGATAGCGATAATGACTTTGCACAATTATATATGAAAAAATGCCATGAATGAATCACACTTTGCAGAAGTAGATTTAGATCCCAATTTATATACCGATGATGTAAATGAGGAGGGTAGTGTTTCAAATGATAACTCTGCTTTTGACATGACATGTTTACGTGATCAAATAGCTATAAGTTTATGAAATATTTAGGGATATTTGTAATTTTTAAGGATAATGAATTTCTTTCGTAGGGACATATGTTACCACATTTATTGCAACGAAAGTGTTCTTATGTGGATCCCAATTTATATATCGATGATGTAAATGAGGAGGGTAGTGCTTCAAATGATGACTCTATTTTTTACATGGTACATTTACATGATCAAATAACTATAAGTTTAAAAAATATACAAGGTGGTTCGTAATTTTTAAGGATAATGAATTTCTTTCGTCGGAGCATATTTTACCACGTTTATTGGAATGAAAGTATTCTCTCTTTTTTTTAATTTGAGAAAGAGACCACTTTGAGGTGAATTTTTTCCATTTGAATTTGTCTAGCAAGAAAATGAAATTTTATTTTTTAATAAATTTTTTAACACAAATTGTTGTCAATATTTAAATTTGCAGACTTTTTTTTTCCAATTTTAAACCAATTAAAAATTAAAAAGCTTAAGTTAATAATCCAAAGGCACTTTTCAAATGTGTTTCCACTAAACAGCTTTTCACTTAAAGTTGCTTTTCAAAGCAGAATTTACCAAACAGTCTTTTCATTTCCCCAAAGTCTTTTAGGCTAAACTGCCTTGCATTTCCCCAAAACCCCTTGGAAATGCTGAACCAAACGTATTCATAGTGCTTGTACTTGTTGCAACTTGCAACCCACTGATGTTTGGCAACCCACTAACGTTTCTTGCTCGAGATCCCTCCTAGATTGGCAAGACAACGACCTGAATGGTTCTGATTGATCCCCGCTGGTCCTGGCGATTCTTTGTAATGTACGAGTCAAATGGCCAAGCTTTGAATCTTCGCTATGCCCTCCTATTCTCCATTGTCAAAGCTATTGATTAGTTTCCTGATGTTCGTCTTTTGGATGATGAGCAAGTTGGTCTTTGGTGGAGCTGAGTGCAAGTGCAAATTTTCCACAGCGTGATCCGGCGATGACCGGTCGAGCCTTCTAGATGAGTAAGGAAGATAAAACTTGGTTACATCGAGCCCACGTGATTGAACTGAACCAATACTCATTGCTAGTTCCAGCACATCCTAAAGTCTGTGATTGATGGTCCTAATGAGCCCAACGCATGGAAGGAATTCATCTTGGACCATATCAGACGCTTAGGTAGCGAATGATAACCATTCTTTTCCGGAATGAGTTCCTGAACCAGAAATAGATTTTTCTATTTCTGGTTCCTGGATGAGTTTCTGAGAAAAAAAACCCGTTTGATAATGACAAAAAATTTCTATTTCGAGAACAGAAACCCGTTTGATAACAGCACAAAATTTCTATTTCCTGAAATAAAAACCCGTTTGATAAACAACAGAAAATTCTATTTCCAGGAACAAAATTCCATTTTTTTAGAAATGGAATAAAAATAATAAAAAATCTGAAAAATTCATAAAAATCTTCAAAAAAATTCAGAAAATCCCAAAAAATTGAAAAATTCCAGAAAAAATCATCAAAATGTCGAGAAAATAAAAAAAATCTAGATTTCGGGAAAATAGGAAATTTGTTGAATTTTTCAAAAAATCAAGAAATCAAAAATTTCAAAACTTCACGAATTCGCTTAGATACCCTGTGCCACCTACTTTTAGTGAAATTTAAATTTTTTAGGTGCCAAAAAAATCAAAAATCAAAAATTTCAAAACTTCACGTAATAGTTTAGAATACATGTGCCACCCACTTTGAGTGAAATTTAAATTTTTAAGATGCCCAAAAAAATTCAAAAACTCAAAAATTTCAAAACTTTACGTAATCTGCTTAGAATACCTATGCCACCCACTTTGAATGAAATTTTAATTTTTGGAGGTGAAAAAAAAAGCAAAAAATAAAAAATTTCAAAACTTCACGAATGACTTAGAATACATGTGGCCATCCACTACGAAGTGAAATTTTAATTTTTTTAGCTGAAAAAAAACATAAAAAATAAAAAATTTCAAAACTTCACAGAATGACTTACAATACCTCTAGCCACCCACTTTGAGTAAAATTTAATTTTTTTTAGATGCCCAAATGTTATTTTTTATTATTTTTTATTTTTTTTGGTTCCTAAAGAAAATTAAATTTCACTCAAAGTGGATGGCCACATGTATTCTAAGCCACTCTGTGAAGTTTTGAAAATTTTTTGCTTTTTTTTTTTTTCGACACCTAAAAAAAATTAAATTTCACTCAAAGTGGGTGGCCACAAGTATTCTAAGCAATTATGTGAAGTTTTTTTTATTTTTTTCGGCACCTAAAAAAATTTAAATTTCGCTTAAAGTGGATGGCCACACGTATTCTAAGCCATTTTGTGAAGCTTTTGAAATTTTTTTTTTCGGCACCTAAAAAAATAAAATTTCGCTCAAAGTGGGTGGCCACATGTATTTTAAGCCATTCCGTAAAGTTTTGAAATTTTTACTTTTTTGCTTATTTTTATTTTTTTGGCATATAAAAAATTAAAATTTCACTCAAAGTGGGTGCCCATAGGTATTTTAAGCTATTCTGTGAAGTTTTGAAATTTTATATTTTTTTTTTAATTTTTTTCTGCACCTAAAAAAATTAAAATTTCACTCAAAGTGGATGGCCACAAGTATTCTAAGCCATTCTGTGAAGTTTTGAAATTTTTGATTTTTTGCTTTTTATTTTTTATTTTTTTCGGCACCTAAAAAAATAAAATTTCGCTTAAATTGGGTGGCCACATGTATTCTAAGATATTCTGTGAATTTTTTAAATTTTATAATTTTTTATTTTTTTTTGGCAACTAAAAAAATTAAATTTTGCTTAAAGTGGGTGGCCATAGGTTTTCTAAGCCATTTTGTGAAATTTTTTATTTTTTATTTTTATTTATTTTTTTCGGTACCTAAAAAAATTTAAATTTCACTGAAAATGGGTAGCCACATATTCTAAACCATTCTGTTAAGTTTTGAAATTTTTGATTTTTTGTTTTTTTTTCTCACCTCAAAGATCGTGACTTCCATATGAATATGTGTGTTGAAGAAAATGAATTCCTCATAAATGGTTCTCACTTTTTGTTCCGTAAATGAAAACCAACTTTTTTTGGTTCTCATTTCGGTTTCGAAATCGCTTTGGAAGCAAACTCGTCCCTAAATAAAAAATGAAATTGCGTTCCAACGGGTTCTGGTCCAAAACCGATTCTGAACAAAAAATCGCTTCCGGACAGAACTGTAATGGTTTTCATGCAAAGACTTAGCCATCTATGTTTCTGAAAACTTAACTAACTCAATAGTAGGAGATCGGCACAAAGTTGCCAACACTTCTAGGAATCTGCCAGCGCGTATTACACAGGTTACTATCATCAACACGCTTAGACATGCTTAGTTAAATATGTAAATGTGTTACCCCTGTCAACACAGCACATTTAAATACATTTCAAGCCGTTAATAATATATAACAGATAATGAGCATCTAGAGAAACCCAGCGAAAATCAAAGAAAGTACCTAGTCACTTACACACATCATCAACTATTGCGCTCACATCCAAGCATGCATAATGGATCCTCAACAATCATGCTCTTGTACTAGTCACGATTGTTGGAATTCTACTGTCCAATCGCAGTAAAACAGAGAACAGGAGTGTTGGACTACCCATTTCAAACACGGCAGCAAAAAATTCATGTCTAAAGCTGGCTGACCATACTATTGTTGGTTAATCTGACACGATTCCTATAAAGAATCCATCTCTGGCTATAGTTACCAGCGGTATCTGGCCTAATTCCGGATTCTGAGACGGGATACTCTGTC